CGGAAGAGAGAAAAAGATTGCTTTTCACAAGTGAGAAATGTGAACTTTTGTGCATAGAGGCTCAGTCTCACATAAGGTCAGCTGAGTGATGCTTTAACTTTTGGAAGGCCTCTCCGACTGCTATGCTGTAAAAGCACAGACTCTTTAACCCAAGTCACCCGGGGTTAGTGGATTCTAGTGAAAAATTCCCTAATGATAATTTAAATGTCATTTAGCAGCAATAAAATAGAAATATGCTCTTGAACATGGATTTTGTATGCTTTAAACCAGCTATCTTACTACTTTGTACAAAAGGTATAGAAATTTAGGAAAAGGTTAGTCTTAATCTAATTATAATCTAATTAGCATTTATTTGCAGTGATGGTGCGAGCGGGCAGCACAGTGACACGGTGATTAGTGTTGTTGCCTCACAGCAAGAAGGTTCGAATGAACCATCTGGCCGGGGCCTCGGATAAGCAGAAGTAAAAATGGGTGGATGGATGGATGGATGCATAGTATAAGCATGAAGACTGAAAGCAGATGAAAACAACTGGCCTCTTTGTGCAATAAAATGATCTGACACAGCATGTCTAGTTCTATCATTAGACTAATAGACACCACAGAAGCACAGGAACTCGCTAGCTATGGTTAAATTGTTCTTAAGGGAAGTGCGTGCTAAGTGTCAGTCAGTGATATATTGCACTTGCAGGTGAATGGTTGGCAGAGGCAAGCAGCTTCATATGTCAAGAAGAAAACATGGAAACTGCCGTCAACAGAGTGTGTCAGATGACACAGTCCACAACAAGAGGTTAGTCATTAAAATGCCGGATGGTTTGACATATTTTATGTCTAAAAAGTCATAACCCTCAATTTAATCTTCACATCAAAAGTTGAGGAAGGTGGCTGTAGTAGACCATACACCGTGACTTTTTTAAAAGCACAACTTAAAGCCATGCTTTCCATAAAGAGTGCTAAAGAGAAAAAAGAAAGAAATAGTGGAAAGGTGAGATGTTTTTTGGGCGATAGTATCAGTTAAGGAGCACAGCATGGAGTGAACTGGCCTGGTGGAGGCCTAGATCCAAAGCAGGATCAGTACGTTGTCACTTAACAAGGGGATTGTTGTCACAGACAGGATATAGAGCTGAAATAGGCTAAGCCTACAGAGATCTGTGCACTGGCTGTCTGTGGCAACCGACACTTTTAACCCCTAATGCTGTCCAGTCATATAGCATGTGATACAACCTTGAACTTTGAATTCTTTTCTTTTTTGTTCTTACTTTGAAAAGAACTACTCTTACTATTCATGCTAAGCTACTTTAATCGCTCCAGCTCTGAATTCAATGTATATGAAAACGATTGAAAATGGCTTAAATGGGTTAAAATAGGCAATATAAATATAGTTCTCTATAAAATTGTATACATCTCTCTTTCATGGTTTCATTCATTCTTTTTCATTTTTAAAGAGAATGTTGAACGATTTTTACAACAACTTCCACCACACCATCGAGCACCCACGATGAACTTGACCAATTAATCACCTTGCCTTTGGAATGCAATGCTCTGTTTAATTAACAGTAGTCAAATACCAGCAGCAGCTTGTGCTTGCGTTGTGGGATTTAAATCAGTGAGTCTAAGTTCTGCGCACTTCTTTTTCAAACACCTGAAATTTCCTTCAAGTTTTCTGTCTGCTTCCCAGGTATCAGTTGGGATCGGCAGTTTAATGAAGTGCTGCAGCAACAGACTGACTCACATATGCATTTCTTAAGGAGTGGCAGTGACTCATAAAGCAACTACTGCAGGAGAATACACGCTCGCAAACACCCACCCACCCACACACACCAGAGTGCATATATACTTTGAAATACACACACACACACACACACACACACACACACACGCGCGTATACATAGCTAATTTGTAACCCAGCATTCCCCTGATAACACCGTTTTTCTTGGCTTTGCTGTGACAGCAGCGAATAAATTAATGGATAAATAAACAAATCCAACACAGAGTGACTGCTTTGAATAGGAAATGAAAGGTGATCATTTGAATATGAAATTAGGGAAAACATTTTTTTAATTTTATTTTTTTTATGACGACTTGAGATCAAAGAAAATATTTAAAGCTTGAAGGGCCACACAGTGATGCACAGGAAGCACTGATCAAACTTAGCAAAAGAAAAAAAGGCATGCAAGACACAAAATGGAGAGCAGCAAGAAGAGATATGATTTTTGAAAATAGGTGTGGATGGAACAGAGGGCGAAGAGCAAGGAGGATGGGAGAAAAATTACCTCTGACACAAGTGGGAGATGAGAGAAGAGAGAAGGTTGAAATTATCACGTGTGCGTCTGCGTGCACACGAAAATGCGTGCACGCGTGGGGGTGTCAGTGCAAATATACAAGCGTATTCTGACAGACGCCTGTTGACTGGTAAAAGCTGCTTGCTAGCTTAATCCCGAGCTCACTCAAAGATACAGTCTGAAGTCTGACGTTATTACAAGATGCCTCTTTTGAAAGGAGAGGAACTCTCATCAAAGTCAACACAAACAAAATCCCCAGCAAGAACTTCACTGCTTCTCCATCTCGCTCACTATTTCATCGACCCCCTCCCCCAACTTTCTTTTTTTGTGATCGTCTTTTTAAATTCATTTTCTTTTCCTTCACTTATTTTCAAAGGACTTTGACAGAGAGACAAACGCTTCCTCCCCTCCTTCCCCACCCCCACCCCTCTGTCCCGCCGGAGCATCAATATACAACAAGGCCCAGAAGTCCAAACAGCAGAAAGGCTGGGTGAGAACAGGGCAACACCAATCCATAATGGATTTTCTTCTCTCTTTCATTTGCTTTCTGTGGGGAGATGCTGTAGAGGCACCACTGGCACAAAATGAGAGATGCAGAGGAGGGGAGGGAAAGGGGAAGAGAGGGGGTGAGAGCTAGAGAGAGAGAGAGAGACATATTGACGGGGAAAAACAGAGAAGGCCCGACGGAGACTCGAAACAGTGTCGGTGACAAGAGCGCTTAACATTTTTCTCATTTGTCTGCAGAGGGCTTTCATATGCTTTAAAATGCGAGGCCAAGCTCGTAGCAGAAGGTGACAGGAACTAAAAGCATTTTTCGGTGTGGCTTTAATTGATCAAACGGTGAAATTGTCTCTAATTAGGTGAGTGTGTTAGCAAGAGGGCTGCCAAGAGGTTAGCTAGATAGCCTGCAAGCAGCGATATCCCAAAATAAACTTAATTGAATCAATGAATTGAAGCTCTCCGGCTCTATCTTTTATAATTGCAGCTGATATAAATAGAATGTTTACTTCTAAAATCTCAAAACCAAACACGGACTGTATGAGTTTCACGGGAAAGCACGAGGCAGGATTCTCTAAGGGTATTAAATTGGCTGAACTGGAGGAAGTTGTTTCAGAAATTGTTTGTTTGAGTCTCCACACCCAAGTGAGAAGTTATTTCTTTTCGTGGGAAGCTCTCAAGCATAAAATGTGCCCAGAATCCCAAGGAATAACCCCGGATGCCGTCGCAGGGTCCACAGAGTCCGTATGGTATTAGTCACCAAAGAGTCTGCTCCGACTGCTTCTGAATGCTTCACTGATTTTATTCTTGATAATTTCTCCTCTTTTCTAGTTAACTGTCCGTTGCCGTCATCAATACCGTTGAGGGCAAACGACTCAAAAAGTACAATTTAATTGATTAAAATCAGGGTTTTCTTTTCAGATTTCCAAGATCTTTGTAGTGGCTGCATTAACACGGATTTGGGAACGTGGCGCCGTCTTTGACGCAAAATCTGAGCATTCAAAGGGGTGAGTGGTTGGGCAAAAAGTACCAAAGCTTGTCAGTGGAGCACTAATGTACCTGTAACGAGGGGTACTTATTTGTACTTCAGTGAGTTTTGAACCTCTGGTGACACTTTGGTACTTTAATGTAGCAGTGTTCAAAACGGCTGCAGGGTCCCCGTCATTCACGCACTTAAAAATGGACTGGGACAGAATACTTTTCTAATCTTATTGATCAGGTTTATCAAGCTCATATCTGCACCTGCAGGCACAGGGAAAACACAGGCAGGTTCAAATCCAGAACCTTCTTACTTCTGTGCCACTATGGTGCTGATGTATAGAACAGATACTTATCAGACTGTATTAAATGCTTTTCATTTACCTTAAATGAAACAATTAAACCTTAAAATATGAAAGCAACGCTGATATTTCAATTTTGCATTAATCCAAATACAGACACTTATACAGTCACTTTTTTAGGTACCTATAGACCTAAAGACATGGTCAAGAAAACCTGGTGAAGTTCAAAGTGTTCATCAAAATGAGAAAAAAATTATGATTTAAGTGGCTTTAAACACGGCATACTGGAAAGCTTGCTGGTGCCACATGGGCTGGTCTAAGCATTTCAGAAACTGCTGCTGATCTACTGGAAGTTTCTATCCCAAGCATATTTACAGAGAGTGGTTCAGAAACAGGAAATATGAATGGCAGGTCTCTGAACGAAAATGCCTTGTTGATGTCAGAGGTCATAGTATGATCAAGTTAATAGTAACTCAATAACATCTCGTTTCAACCAAGATATGTAGAAGTGCATCACTCAGCGCTAAGCACACTGAACCTCGATGTAGCCACACAGATTTCCCAGCAGTGTAAAATGAGTGTTCAGGCATATCTATTCATAATTACAGTAAACATGATGTTAAGTGCAGGTTTCTTGGCAAGCCACATCCATAATATAAATTAACATGGAATTTGTTTAGTGCTTTGGTAAAAGAAGCCAGCACAATGGATTGAGTCTTTAATGAAGACTCATTATTTTTAGATTTTTCATCCTCACTCAAAAAACACAGTCACCAAACCTCTGTTGCATCTATATGTGCAGTTTTTATGTCTTTGAAACTGAAACCATGGCTCATCCCTTATTATTTTACAGAAGTGCTACAGAAGTGTTACTAATATGGTAGCCAAATAGCGTGTGTGCTTCTAGTGAGGCTTTTTCAGAACATACACAAAATAAACTACCTTGTTCGCAGGTTTCCAGGGCTGGGCGGCCCATCATATACAGACAAGATGTCAAAGTCCTCCTCTAGGGCAAAGCCTTGAAACACCAGCTGTATCCGGTTGTGCTCTGCCGCCACAATGACCCATGTACAGTTGGCATAGTTAGGATAGCCGTAAGGGTATCCAGGGCTTTCTATTGTCCCATTGGGATTCTGTAATGTGTAACTGCAGTTCTGAGCTGTGAAGAAAGAGAAAGAGAAAAAGAAATAGTCAGTTATTAAAAGGCAGAAAGACACGTTAGCAGAGTACAGAACAGCTAGCAGAGTGCTTAAACGTTAAGGATTCTCCAAATAAAAAGACAAAAACCTCACTCATCTACACTCAAGAAAGGAAATTATACAAATGCACACCCACAGTCAAACATTTTGCACCAAATGCAGCAACATCCATTATCACCTACAGCATAAGCCATTAATATTGCAGTGCTAAATGGCTCGCCCCCCCCCTTCTCTCAGCTTTCCCCACCTCTACCCACCTCCATCATCACACGCTTGTTCATCACACACAGCACTGGTCCTACCACCACATTAATAATAGGTTCCCACGTTAATACATGACATAGCTCGAGAAGAAGAGTCGAGGTGACGAGAGGGGAGAGGAGGAGACGTACTTGATTGCTACATTAATTGAACTCATCTTGCATTTTTTTTCCTGCAGCCACTTAAACTGCCTTCAATCTGAGATTTTAATTGTATCCGTACAAGGCTCGGGGTGGATGTAAGAAGCGTTGTCTATGTGTCTGTGAGCGTTTTCAATCTCCAAGCTAAATGACTTGTCTTCGACTGATCTGCGCACAGCCGAGACTTTTAATCAATGTTAGGATTTGCCTGTAATTAATCGCTAATGAGGAATGATGTGTCATTGCTATATTATGCACAACTCTGCATTTTGTCTGTGCTTTCAGAGTTAATTTACAAATTACTGTGTTTATACACATAACGTTCAATAGTTAAAGAGGCACATTATTCCCAAATCAAATTTCCATATTTCCCCCTGGTCTATGCCACTTTTCCTCTATCTAGATGATTTTGGTGTCACCTGCCGGGCTCGGTAGATATCCACTGTAGAGATGCCAGCCTTCTCTTGAATATGATGGAATGAATGGCCACAGCTAATGACTGCTTGCGTTGTGGAGCAAAAGCAGACCATACAAAAAAAATCTAGGTGAAAAATAACACTACAGCCTGGTGGAAAATGTAGGAGTTTGGTTTTGGGCTAAGGTGCCTCTTAAAACGATATTAATTTGATTTCATACATTGTAAAAAAAAAAAAAAACAGAATGGAGATGATTGTAATTTTCTGCCACTACAATACCTGCTTTTTTTCTTCTTCTTTTGTTTTTTTTAAATCAAAACTTGCAATGCATAATTGAAAAAGATATAAAAAAAGCTGTGGCTAGCACTTTTCCCTCACAGCAAGAAGGTCCTGAGTTCAATTCCACCATCAGGATGGGATCTTTCTGTGTGGAGTTTGTGTGGGTTCTCTCCAGGTACTCAGGCTTCCTCCCACAGTCCAAAGACATGCAGTGAGTGGGGTTAGGTTAACTGATGTTTCTTAATTGTCCATAGCTGTGAATGTGAGTGCGAATGGTTGGCTCCCTGAACTGGATAAGGAGAAGAGATGGACATGGCAATGATTTTCTTTATGTCAAAAAACCATATCCCCCCCCCAAAGAACACTAAATCTGAACAGACAGATTTAAATCCCTCATACATCAGGGATCTCATACCCTATAAACATATTTGTGGTCACACAGAAGTGAGCTAAATAAATATATCCTTGCACATGCTGTTAATACAAATGAAGTATATTTCCCTTTTGTTCACTTCAGCCAAAAAACCTGCATCATAATGTAGCCTGATTAAAATGTAATTAGGAGAGTATAATTGCAGGACATCTGTTATCTGGATAACCCACATTATTCAACAACCAGAATGCAAGACTTGCAGTAGATACGATATTTGTTTTGTTCATTTGTATGCACAGACAAACAGGGCAAATGTCTGTGATGAATCAATGCATGCTACCTGAGGGCATAAAAAAGTGACAGTTTAAATAAGGATTATTGAGTAAACACATCGCAGCTTTGAGACAGGTAAAAGTAGAGGCTGCTTTGATGGGTTGCGGGGGTGGGGTGGAGGTGGACATTGAATGGTTGTGAAGCATATAGACTCTGTTCTACTTTGTGCACATTCTCTGATGGGTAGGGAAAACTCAAAGCCCAAAATCTGTCCATATTTTCACTCTGAAATATGCATCATGTCTGAGAAAACAGTAGGGATTTACAGGTAATAAGGCACCAAGCATGAAGGCAACTAAAGAGACTAAAAGGGGAGGGGCTTAACAAAAATACATTTTACTTTCACTCAAAGTTGAAAGAACAAAACAAAGAAACCTGAAAAAGTGGGTTTGTTATTGGTTACCCGGACAAGCAAATGCTGCATTTGATCTCATGGTAGCAATCAAAGTGAATATCAAAGATTTCAGGGGCTACACACCACGTCAAGGTGTTTATGTATCCTGAATCGCTACTGGAAAAACATCCACCCACCCAAAAGCACATGCACACACACAGATACAAACATATTTTTCTTTCCCAGGTAGAGGAAATGCATTTTTGGGGGGAGAAGGATAAAAGCAGATAGTTTCAGAAAGTTAAGATATAGGCTGTCTGGATGGCATTGGCAGCAGCTCGAGGTTCATCCAGTCACAGTGTATCTGTCATGCCACTGTTGACTCCCAAGGGCCTGTCTGGTCCAAAAACAGGCAGAAGCCTCTCCACCGTCACTTTTCAGTGCTTCATGTGCGCTTGACCTCTTCCAAAAGATGCTAATGTGAGTGCACTCGTACGCAGACAAGAATTAACGTATGTGGAACAGAATTAAACTACACGTTTAATAGTGCATCCAGAGTTTAGCTATTTGCTTGCTTTAGAAATCTGTAAGTGAATTCATGGCATGTGTAAAATCATGTACTTTTTTCCCTTTTCTTTAAGAAGAATCAAGAGAGAAGAACAAAAAATGATCAAACTGAGAGCTATCCTCATCTGATTTTTTTATTAAAGCCTTTAAATAGGCTCAGCAAGTGAGCATCCAGCCTCCCAATTACCATCAGGTCAATACTAATATCCAGGTAAAACCCCCACATCTAACTCTCCCACCTGACTTTCTTACCCACAACCCAGTCAATAATCTCCTCATCATCTCCCTCATTACAGCGCCTCAGTTAGACAATGCCAATCAGGAGCTCACACTGTAGAGCAGACAGATTGCAGAGCTTGATGGGGATCAAAAGGGTCTGTCAACCTATTGTACTGAGTAAAGACAAGTAGAGTGGACTGTATTATAAAACAATACCAGGAAGGTTAGGGCGATTGAATTGTTATTAATCACTTTCAGCATCAAATTGAAGAAATAATTGATTTCGTGACTCTTGAGGTGCTACCAGCTGAAGTGAAAACATTACAAAGAGAGTGTGTTCTGCAGCTAAATAAAAGGTTTTCACACACAGTGCACATGCCATTACAGCATGAAGCACGCTGTATGACAGGTGATCAACCAGGCAGGAACTCAAGCTCTGTGTTTTATGGACACAATTAAGCGAAGCAAAAAAATGAAAAGAAAAAGTAATGATGATGGAGGATATGTCTGCTGCCAGAGCTCTGCTAAATGCTGTTTTGAATTGTAAGCAGCATTGCCAAGTTACCAACTCCTAAATTGATAATGATGCATACAATCTTGGACAAAAGACCAAACTGGAGTTTTACGAGAAGCTGTTTTATTCTGGCTGTAGCCAAAAACAGTTATATTCCTGATGAAAAACGGTTAGGCTCAGACTCAGAATTCAATTGTAGAAAAAACAGGCACTTGAAAATGCACTTCTGTGGCCATTAAGGACCAATTTGCAACATTATTGAGTTTGATTTTCATATCGGGGGGGTGATAACAGGGACACTTGCAGATGTTTCTGCTGCACCCTGCGGCCATGCTCATTCTAAATTATGCGCAACTGCAGAAAAAAAGGTTACCATAAGATTCAAGTGAGGTTAACCGAGGTTCTGTAAGTCTGCTGTCCCTGTTCTTTGAAAACCCGGAGCCTTTGATTAAGTGGATCCTGCACTTGGGGCTTGGATGAATTATTTAAGGCTCGTCCAGGATGCATTATGAAATTAGCATCTGGGAGCTGGTGACCTACTCTGAAGGCCTTCGGTGTAAATCTGCAGGGAAGAGCCCAACCTGCAGTTGACTCTACTGACACACCATAAAGACACCATAAAGATACTGCTGGCGGTGCTTTTTTAGCCACCGGTAAAGTAAGAAGGTCATGTTTTCTCAGATTGTGTAAATTCTGGTGAACCAGTGAATGCCGAAGAGCAGCAGAGATGCTAGTTCAGCAATTAGGAAATGGCCATCGTTTTTAAGTGCTTAGCATATTTCATCTTCCATCATGCCATTGGGAACTGTTTGCAGAAGGCTTGTAGTGGAATGTTAACTGTGTGGATGTTCAACAGATATGTTGTCCACTGCTTAGCCCGCTGTGCCACTGGCAGCATCCACTTGGCACTTAGCATCTCCGGTGCGCAGGCTGCCAAATGAGTGTACAGGGAGAGGTGTGACCTTGCTGGGGCAGCACTCCAGGTTCTACCTGTGCCTGTGTTTGTGTGCAGGTGCTGTTGTTTGCTTTGCTGGTGCAGTTGTTCAGTAGCAGACACACAGAACTGTGGTGGCGCGCTGTGACACTTTGATGAATCGATGGTCACCGCGCTGCACTCGGGCAGGACAGCAACCCCTCCGAGAGGAAGGAGACAAGAAGAGACCAAAAAGGAAAGAGAGAAAGAAGCGGGGCTAAGGGCGAACGGGTGGTGGGGCAGACAGACACAAAGCAGACTGGATCTATGGACATATGAGAAAATAGATTTGGAAGACGTGATGCGAGGAATAATAGAAGCAAAGGTGAAATGAGGTCCAAACTGCAGGGAAATAAAAAATAGCAGAATGAACGTTTGCCAGAAAGAACAAGTGAGGGCGACGAGAGAAGGGACACCAGCCAATGGGGGCAGCAGGGGGGGTTGAATGAGTGGGACAGAGGAAGAACACTATATAAGGTGGGATATTTTTTACCTGTTTTGCTGAGGTCACAGACAGCCAGTGTGACATTCACAGCAAGATAGTGCTTAAT